CCGGCAAGATCCGCGCAGCCACCGACACCCCGTGCAGTCGGCAAACTCCGCGCAGCCCCAGCACCCCGCGCAGCGCCGCTCAGCTCCGCATCCCCCGCGCAGCCCGCCCGGCCCCGCCGCGCCGCGGCCGCGGAGCCTCCGCCCGGCGCCGCCGCCTCCCACGCGGAGCCGCCGGCAGCGGCCCCGGGCAGGGCGGCACCGCCCCGCGCAGCGACACTCCTCCCTCCGCACCGCCCCGCGCAGCGACACTCCTCCCCCCGCACCGCCCCTGGATCCCGCACCGCCCCGCACCACCCGTGACCCTGCGCGTCTCAGCGACCCCGCGCACAGCCCGCCCTCCGCAGCCTCGGTGCGCTCCCCATCTTCATCCTCAGCATCCTTCGGTCATCCTCCTCCTCATCTTCCTCCCCCGGGCCTCCATCCCTCCTCCTCCTCCTCCCTCGGAGCGGCTCCAGCTCCCACAGAACCAACCAGGAGGGGCCGAGGAGGTCGGGTACCTCTCCTCTCCTATCCTATCCTATCCTATTCTATTCTATTCTATTCTATCCCATCCCATCCCATCCCATCCCATCCCATCCCATTTTTACCCTCACTGCATTTGATTTTAAGTTTTTGAGATGTTTAGATCCCCACGGCAGCCAGGCAGCACTGCCAGCACACAGAGGGGACACAGCCCCTTCCACCCAGGAAGAATTTCCCTGAGAGAAGCCACAGAGCTCAGCCCTGATCCAGGACTGGTGGGAAGCAGGAAACCAGCCCAAAAATGTGGATAAATGCCCAGGGAATCACGGAGCAGTTGGGTGGGAAGGGAGCTGGTGATGCTCCAAAGGGCCAGGCTGTATCCAAGGGTCCTCCTCACCCACTCCTGCTGCAGGACTGCTGCCACCAGCTCCAGAAAATACTTGGATTGGCAGCTTTAACCATGGGATAAAGCCCAGCCACACTTCACTTTTTAACCATCACCTTCCTCAGAACTGATTCTCAAGGATTTTTCTGGCCACTGCATTTCTATTCCAGTTTTTTGGGTTTTTTTGCCAGAAAATTGATTTAGTTTCTCACTTTACTCTTTTCTATTCCCAATTTCTCCTTTCCCCACCTTTTTTTCCCTGTGATTGACACAATGCCTGTCAATTTTCCCACCCAATTCAAGGAAATTTGGTATGGAATCAATCCCAAACTCTGGCCATGCTGCCAGAACCCTCCTGGCTCACAGATCCTGCAGCCTTGCCAGCTTCTCCTCTCCTGTTTCTCGTTCCTCCATCCCTCCTGTTTTCCCAGAGGCCTCTCCCTGGGCTGGAATTGGGCACAGATTCCCTGTGATCCATCCCAATGTGACAGTGACAATCCAAGGGGAGCCATGCCCTGTAATTACCGCAATTAAAATCCCCATTGCTTTTAGGGGCATGAGCACGTTCCCAGCGTGTTCTGCCAGCCGGGGTGGGATGAGGGAATAGTGGGAGTGGGGAAGGAGTGGAGGGCATGGAAATGTCACCCAAAGGGCCCTGGTGACAGCAGGCTGCTCCAGGCAGCCCTGGCAGAGCTGTTCTCCTGGAATGATGGAATTCCCAGCTGATCCCACCATCCCAGGCTGCTCCAGCCTGGCCTTGGGCACTGCCAGGGATCCAGGGGCAGCCACAGCTGCTCTGGGAATTCCCAGTTCCCAATGTCCCATCCATCCCTGCCCTCTGGCACTGGGAGCCATTCCCTGGCTCCTGTCCCTCCATCCCTTGTCCCCAGTCCCTCTCAGCTCTCCTGGAGCCCCTTCAGGCCCTGCCAGGGGCTCTGGGCTCTGCCTGGAGCCTTCCCTTCTCCAGGGGAGCATTCCCAGCTCTCCCAGCCTGGCTCCAGGGGCTCCTCTGGACTCTCCAGCAGCTCCACATCCTCCCTGTGCCGATTATCCCACAAACCCAAGCCTCCCCTGCCTGCTGCCATCCCAGCTTTCCCATCCCAGATCCATTTAAACTCACCTGGGCAGGAGTTCCCTCTGGAGCTCCTTTCCCTGCAATTCCATTTCTTCTTTCCATTCCATTCCATTCCATTCCATCCCATTCCCTTTTCTCCCGTTTTTACCTTCACTGAATTTGATTTTAAGTTTTTGAGATGTTTAGATCTCCACAGCAGCCACGCAGCAATTCCCTGCAATTCCCCGATTTCTGCACCCGGAGGCTTTCCCAGGCTTTAGCTGATGTGGGGATGATGACAAATGAAATGATGAAATTAATTATGTGTTCCCTGAATTAACGGAGACATTCCCAAACCCGGCTCTGCCAATCCCACTGCCTGGATGTGGATTTGAGGGCAGATCCTACTGTTTTTCCTCACAAAAATAATATCCAGTTTGAAATGGTAGTTGGAGCAGGCAGACATGGCACCAGTACCAGCATATTCCTCAAAAATATCCTAACATCCCTCTGGATGAATTTCTAAATCCCTTAAATAAATCCCAAAAAAAAAGGGATAAATCATATTTCCAGGGAAATGAGATGGAGGTTGATTCCCTCTCTGTAATTTTCTGTCAATCCTAATTATAACCATTTCTGAGAAATCCCCAAAAAAAGGGGAAATACCTCGGTGCCTGCATTCATCCCTCCCAAAGGGATTATTGGGTGATTCATTCCCAGGCTCCGCAGCCCATCATTAACAGGAGCAGTTAATTACCTCTAAAGGCTTTAATTACCAGCAGGGGAGGCTGGGCCTCGCCAGGGTTTGGTGTCACCTGCAGCTCCATCCCCCCAGACACCTGCAGGGACAACCTGGAACAGGAATTACTGAGAAAAGGGATTTTAGCTGGGGTTTTTCCATGGGTTTTGGACAAGGAAGCAACTCTGGATGTGGGGAATCTCATTAAATGAGTTGTTAATTAGCCCTTTTGTGATTTGCTTGATTGAAGGGCACTGCAGCAGCGTAGGATGAATTACAGAATTATGTATTAATATAGAAACTCTATTTATAAAATCCTAATTTTGTAAATAGCTCCGGTTCCAACGTCAAGGAGCCTTGGGATGGGACAGGGCAGCGTTGGGAATGTGGAGCTGTCCCCCCCTGGAGCCAGGGGTGCTCCACAGGGAGGTGACACTGCCCTGTCCCACTGTCCCCAGGACATTCCACACCTCCTCCTTCCACCCCAACCCAATTCCCACCCCAGAACCCACCCAGGGCTGTGCTGTGGCCAAAACCCTCGGGAAGGAGGTGAAATAAAGATCTGATTCCTCTTTTCCTGCATGGAAATTCCTGGTTAAATTTGATCCTGATGTTTTCCTGCTCTTTTTACAAAGAATAAAACCTCCCCCTTTTCTGGGGGATTTTTAAATCACATTTTGTACTTCTGGAGGATGAGGAGCAGGAATATTTGGGCAGGAGGCTGGGGATGAGCCCCAATCCAGGTTAATCCAGGATATTCCAGCTCCATGGATGCCCAGCACTCCCTTTCCCAGCTGAACCCCCTCCTGCTTCCCCTTTAATGCTCAGTATCCAGCACATCACCCTCTGTCATTTACACCATCCACAAACCCCAGGATGAATCCAGGACCACCACAGCAGATACAGAAAATACCAGCATTTTTAATGACCCAGTGCATTTACAGAGATTTTTGGGGAATTGTGAGGGAAATCCTGGGAAATATTTCCCCACTTACCCGTGCTGGGATCCCGCTGCCCTGAGATTTCAGTCTCCTGAATCCCCTGGGCAGTGAGAATTCCCAAAATCCCAGCCCAGAGGGCCACAGCTGCATTCAGGGTGGCTCCCACAGGAATGTCCCTGTCCCCACATCCCAGCAGGAGCAGCTCCTGAGGGCCAGCAGCGCTTTGGGAACACCCACACCCACACAAGGATGGAGCCCCCAAATTCCTGAAACCAGAAAGGAGCCCCTGTGTTTCCAGGAACACCTGCAGGCAGAGCTGGGAGCTGATCCAGGGGCAGGGCTGGGATGCAGGGACTCATGGATGCGTTGGGATGGAGGGATGGAGACCCTCCAAGCTCCAGAGGTCTCAGGTTTGGTTCTGCCAGGCATCCCCTGAGCCCCAGGTCCGGACCCAGCTCCGATCCCATGGAAGGAGGGGACAGCTCCCTCCGTGCCACCCCGAGGTCCCACGAGTGTCACTCCTTCCCCTCGGCATTCCCGTGTCTCCTGTGGCCTCATCTGTTGGAATTCCTTGGCCCGGTTTCCCAACGCTGGATCCCGTTGTTTCCCAGCACAACCCAGGAAGCTTTGGTGCTGTCAAATCCCACTGGGCACAAGACACCCCCCAAGATTCCCCAGGATATTATCCAGGATTTCCTCCAGGAGAGCCCAGCACATCCCACCAGCTCGGGCCACACCTCCCAGGATGGCTCCCAGTGCCAGCTGGTGCCACTGGGCATCTAGGATGGGCCACCTCTCCGTGGTGACGTGTGACAGTGACATCTCCATATCCCACCTTCTCCAAGGTGCCTCTGGAATCTAAGCAGTGACAGCAATGCCTCCCTATCCCAACTTCTCCAAGGTGCCTCTGGAATCTCTGGGGTGACAGTGACATCTCCCTATCCCAACTTCTCCAAGGTCCGCTGCTGCCTCTGGAATCTCTGGGGTGACAGTGACACCTCCATATCCCAACTCCTCCAAGGTCAGATGACACCTCTGGAGTGACAGCAACACCTCCCTATCTTCAAGGTCAGATGATGCCTCTGGAGTGACAGTGACACCTCCCTATCCCACCTTCTCCAGGGTCACCTGCTGCCTCTGGAACCTCTGGGGTGACAGCAACACCTCCCTATCCCACCTTCTCCAGGGTCACCTGCTGCCTCTGGAATCTCAGGAGCGACAGCAACACCTCCGTATCTCAGCTTCTCCAAGATCAGCCGCTGCCTCTGGAGCCCGGAGCCCGCTGCTGTCGCTACCAGCCGATCCTGGATCACCTGGAGGAGTCCAAGGGCGCGGCGGCTCCAGGAGCCCCTGCTGGGGGTGACTCTGCCGGGCCGGGAGCGGGCTGGGCTCTCCTGGGAGCAGCGGGACGAGGCGGGATCACGCCGGCAGGGTCATGTTGCGCAGCAGCCACTGCTGGGCGCGGCCGCCGCCGCAGTCACGCACGGTGGGCACCAGCCGGTCCTCGTCCGACGGCTCCGCCAGGCACTGGTTGCTGTTCAGGTGCCTCAGGGTGAGCTTCTGCAAGGGGGGGACAGAGAATTCCTGCTGAGAACACAGCATGCCACTGGAATTCTGTAGCTGTGATATTCTCTGAAAAATCCCTTTGCCGGGATTTTTTCTCCTGAGAAGCTGAGAGGCCCCAGAGGAAAAGAAAGAAAATAATTATCTGCTGCTGTGGGATGCAACAGGTGAATCTGTGATTGGTATCATGTGCTTGTTTCTAATTAATGGCCAATCACAGCCAGCTGTCTCGGACTCTCTGGTCAGTCACAAGATTTTATTATCATTCCATTCCTTTCTATTCCTTGCAACCTTCTGATGAAATCCTTTCTTCTATTCTTTTAATAGATCATTTTCTTTTAATATAATATATATCATAAAATAATCAATCAGCCTTCTGAAACATGGAGCCAACATTCTCATCTCTCCCCTCATCTTGGGACCCCTGTGACCATCACCACAGAATTCCACCCGGGAAATTGCAATTTTCTGGCATTTCAGGCCAGGTTTGGTCACTGGAGCAAATCTGCTGGACCTCCAGGACAGCCCCACCACCCTGCTCCTCCCTCTGCTGAATTAACGAACCCTCAGCAAAGGGAAAATAACTCCAAGGAAATCTTGTCTTTCCAAGGCACAGCTGCTGGATGGAGGAGTTTGGTCTCCACGGCCATGGACGCATGGAATGTTTGGGACCAGAGCAGGAAATTTTTGGTGCTGATGGGAATGTATTTGCTCAGTATTCCATGGAAATTCTGATGTTCCCAGGGCATTTTTCCTTCTTGGGACACCTCCTCTGATCCCACATTTCTGAGGGATGGGAGAATTAGAAGACACAAAAAGAATTGGAGGGAACAAAACACCACCTGTTTCACAGGGAGAACAAATTCCCAGAGAAATCCCCAGAGAAGTTAAACAGAAAATTCTATCCTTAAGCAACACCAGAGAGGTTCAGTCCCAGCTGAGCCGGGAGCATTCCCACCACCATCCCCTGGGATTGTGCCAGGGCCTGCCCACCCTCCCAGCCAGGAATTCCCAGTTCCCAATGTCCCATCCATCCCTGCCCTCTGGCACTGGGAGCCATTCCCTGGCTCCTGTCCCTCCATCCCTTGTCCCCAGTCCCTCTCCAGCTCTCCTGGAGCCCCTTCAGGCTCTGGAATGTTCTGGAAGCTCTCCCTGGATCCTTCCCTTCTCCAGGGGAACATTCCCAGCTCTCCCAAGATCCCTGGGAATGGGGAACTTCAGGGTGGAAATCCTGTCTGCAGATCATGCACTGGAGCAGAGCCCGATTTTATGGCAAGGGAACAAACAGGGAAAACCAGGATGGGCAGGAAAATCCTGGAGCCCTCAGGAAAGGAGGAATCAATCCCAAAATTCATCCCAAACAGCCCAGGCTGATGCCAAACCTTGGGATCACCTCAGGGATAGAGGGGCTGGAATGGTGGGAGCTTTTTGGGCTCACCCAGGAGAATAAATATTGATATAATATTAAAAAATTATAAAATAAATAAATTATAGAAAAAAATAAAATTAATATAAAAGATAAGATTATAGATCATATAAAAATAATACATTAAAGAATATAGATGACTATAATATGTTATGTCCAATATAAACAAATATAAAAAATAATATAGAATACAAAATTTAAGGGACTAAAAAAAGATTAAATAAAATCTAGAATAATATAAAATATGAGATATATAAAATAATATACTAATAATATAGCAGACAAGAATATAAAATATAAATTAAAATAAAATAATATAATAATACTCCTAGCTGAAGGGAAATCAGGAATTATTTTCACAACAGTCTGATGCTCTCAGGGCTCATAAACTCTATTTATGTTCATTATTTATAATATTTCTATAAAATTTTATATTTACTTCAAAATATAGCATTATGCTTATATATTACATAATAAACATATGGGTGTTTATGAGTGTAAATGTATAACTATTATAGTTCTATATATTTAAATTTTATATAGAATTTAAAAATTACAAAATAAATACACATCTATATATTAAAAATTCAATATATATAGATATAAAGAAAGACTTTTTTCTAGTGTTCCAACTAAACTGGTGGGAAATTCCAACAAGGAATTTGGTTTTCTTACCACCCATCTCCTTGTGGTATTCCACTGAATAGGAAGAATTCCATGAAAAGTACAAGAAAAAAAATCTATAAAAAAACAAATTCTAAGAAAATTCTAGGAAAAGTCTGTGGATAATCCTAGGAAAAATTGAAACTTTTTGAGAAAATATTTTGCAACTGGAATTACTTTTATGTCCTGGAATAGGAACCAAATCTTCAGCTCCTGCAGATTGGAACAATCATGGTGACAGCAGGAAATCAAGGGAGTTTAATTCATCCAAAACTAATTAAAACTAACAACAACTAAGACTAATAATTACTAGTAACTAATAATTATTAAAAACTAAGAGCTAACACTAAACATCTGTTCCATCCTACAGCTATAAAATCCTCTTCTGTCTTGTTTTATAGAAAAATTGATATAAAAAAATCTATTAAATTATATGAAAATTATATGAAAAATATTAGATTTTATGAAAATTCTATCAAAATTCTATTAAAATTCTACAAAAAATTTTATGAACATTCTATGGAAATTCCACTAACAATTCTATTGAATAATTGTATGAAAATTATATGAAATAATTGTATGAAAAATTGTTAGAAAATTCTATTTAATAATTGTATTAAAATTCTATGAAAAATTCTTAGAAAATTCCATGAAAAATTCTTAGAAAATTCCATGGAAAATTCCATGGAAAATTTCAGGGAATAATGAAAACTGTGGGAAAAAGTGTTTCAAAAATTCTCGTAAAATTCCCTGAAACATTCCATGAAGATCTACGAACTCCATGAAAAACGAACGTCCACGAAACCATCAAAAAAAATTTTCAAAAATACAAAAATCCCACCCAAAACTAAAACAAGACAGAAACTCCGCCGAGCTCCTCCAGCAGAGCCTGGAGCAGGAAGAGTCCCTGGCAATTCCTTACCACATCCTAGCTCTGCTCCCAGTCCCGATGCCCCTACAGGAAGTAATCCGTGGGGCTGGAGTAAACCTTCCTAAAGACTTCCAGGCGGGAGTAATTCCTGAGGCTCCAGGTCTGCAGGGGGCTCCCGTCGCAGGCCTCCACCGTGGGGCCCTGGGAGCCGTCCTCCACCCTGCCCAGCGTCAGGCACGACTGCGTGATGATGTGCAGGAACGTGCGCCTCTGCAAAAGCGGGAACGGGGCGGAAAACCGGGAATCGTTCATGGAGAGCGGGATGGGAACGCGCCGGGGACAGACGGGGATGTGCGGACGGGATTCCTGGGCTGGGGTTGAATCGTACACAAAATCTCCTCCCTGCTCTGAGAGCGTTCCCGTGATCCAGACTGTGGCTCCCAGTCCTGTTCTTCCTACCCTTGGACTGCTGCAATTCCCCATTGGGAAGATCCACAGATGGGGTTTTCCTAGAAATATCCCAAAACTTCCACCTTGCTATTGAGAGCGTTCCCATGATCCAGACTGTGGCTCCCAGTCCTGTTCTTCCTACCCTTGGATTGCTATTCCCCATTAGGAAAACCCAGGCAGAGATGGGGTTTTCCTAGAAATATCCCCAAACTTCCTCCCTGCTCTGGAGAGCATTCCCACGATCCAGACTGTGGCTCCAAATCCCGTTCTTCCTACTCTTGGATTGCTGCAATTCCCTGCTGGGAAGATCCACAGATGGGGTTTTCCTAGAAATATCCCAAAATTTCCACCTTGTTCTTGAGAGCATGCCCATGATCCAGATTGTGGCTCCAAATCCCCTTCTCCCTGGCCTTGGATTCCTGCTGTTCCCTGCTGGGAAGATCTACAAATGCGGTTTTCTTCAAAATACCCCCAAACTTCCACCTTGCTCTTGAGAGCATTCCCATCATCCAGATTGTGGCTCCCAGCCCTGCTCCTCCAACCCCCTGGATTGCTGCAATTCCCCTTTGGGAAGATCCAGGCAGAGATGGGGTTTGTTCAGCACAAATATCCCAAAATTTCCTCCCTGCTCTTGTGCCCATTCCCAAGATCCATCATGCAGAGTGGCTTCCAATCCTGCCTCTCCAGCCCCTTGGATGGCTGTGATTCCCTACTGGAAAGATCTGGGCACAGATGAGGTTTTTCCTGCACAAACCACCCTAAACCCCATTTGGGAATTACACAATTAAAACCAGAATTCATTAAACATTTATGAGGGGTTTTTTTTCTTTCCCACAATTCCAGCTGTTCCTTTCCGGTGCCATTTCCAGGTGGGATGAGATGAAGGGGAGCTTCCACTTCCCTAAATTCTCGCCACTGTCACCCCATCACTGAGGTGGAATGCTCTTCCCACATCCCTCACCCGCTCCTTTTCCACGGTTTTGGCTTGAGAATGGAAAAAGTGACATGAGGATAAAGCAGCCACTAAAAATACCAGAGCCCAGTGTCCCTAAAATGTCACTTGGAGTCACAGGCAGGGACAGCAGTGCTGGATCCCTCTGGATCAGCACTCCCTGCTCCCTCCTGTCCATCAGCCCTTCCAGGGAAAGCAGAGGCCCATCAGTACAGGACTTGGAATTCTCTCTCTGGTGTTCACAGGATATGAAATATCCTCACATGGGGATAAACAAGAATGTGGGAATCTGAGCAGGCTTTTCCTGGTGGATTCATGGAATGGTTTGGGGTGGAAAGACCTTAAATCCCATCCTAATCCACCCCTGCCATGCACAGGGACACCTCCCAGGCTGCTCCAAGCCTCATCCAGCCTGGCCTTGGACATTCCAGGGATTGAGGGGCAGCCACAGCTGCTCTGGCAATCCCAGCCCAGCCAGGAATTCCCAATTCCCAATGTCCCATCCATCCCTGCCCTCTGGCACTGGGAGCCATTCCCTGGCTCCTGTCCCTCCATCCCTTGTCCCCAGTCCCTCTCCAGCTCTCCTGGAGCCCCTTCAGGCCCTGCCAGGGGCTCTGAGCTCTGCCTGGAGCCTTCCCTTCTCCAGGGGAACATTCCCAGTTCTCCCAGGCTGGCTCAGGGAACGGGAAGCTCTGGAACGTTGGAGCAGCAGCTATGGAGAAGCACTGGGTGAGGGCACTGCTACAGGAGCTATTCCAGGGATTGGGAATGCACAGGGATTGCACCAGACTTACCTCAAAGCTATACTCCCATTTCCCAAAATACTGAGGGAAGGGAAGACAGAAGGAAAGAGGAGTCAGTGATCCAAGGAACATTTTTTGTGCAGCCCCTCAGCTCTCCCTGGATGGAAATTCCACAACTTTGCAGGGACACCGTGACTGGGGACAAACAGTGGCAATTATCCAGGAAAAAATCATGGAATTCTGAGCAGGGAGGGATCCACAGGGATCAATGATCCAAACCCTGGCCCTGCCAGGATATCCCAACAATCCCATCCTATCCCTGAGAGCATTGTGCAAACACTCCTGGAGCTCTGGCAGCCTTGGAATAAACCCTGAGGGATCTGTCAGGAATAAACCCTGAGGGATCTGTCAGGAATAAATGCTGAGGAGCTTTTCAGGAACAAACCCTGACATCACCATCCATCCACAAGGAATTAAACTCCTTCCTATCAGCTGTGACACATTTCCAACTTCATTTTTTCCCTGGATCCTTTCGTGCGTGCCACGTCCCAGGATCTCATCCCTCTCCATATCCAGAGGTTTCCCCAGATGTCACAACGGGAATCACCAGGTGTGGGAACCTGGAATCTATTCAGTATTTAAATGCCACAAATTAAATTAGGAAATTATTAAAAATTATTAGTAGCAGGAAATCATAGACAATTCCATAAAAATCCCTCAGAGTAACCCCTTTTTAGGATTATTTCATGTCCAGCTGTGGCCCTGTTGTCCATTGCCAAGCCAGAATTTCTAAAAATTCCTAGAAACCACCCAAAATCCCTCCATGCAATGCCTAAATAAGCAAGGTAAGGAAAAATCAGTGTAATTCCACTGGAAAATTGAATTAATGAATACAAGGGATTCAGGAAATATCCTGTAATTGTTTCTCTTGGAGAAAAAAAAATTGGAATATCACAGCTGGTTGTTTTCTTGGGCAAAAAAAGTCCTGGATATTAGGAATGTTTGAAGGTTAATAACACACTAACAAATATATAATAATGGGACTAATGAAATGAAAGGGAAAATGGGTAGTTGAAATCGGAATATTCCAAGAAAAATTGGTAACAAAAAGCTTTGCTCAATAAATCCAGGGACAGGGAATGCAATGGGATGTTTTCCAGGAGAACAAGCAGCCAAACCTTGGAGATGCCATAAAAACACGGAGTATTCCTGTTTTAGGAGCTCCATCTCATGGCCGAGCTGGGTTTTACACCATTCCTGGGAAATTCTGCTCAATTCAAGGGAAAAACCAGCACATTCTCTGTATTTTATTGGAAGAACTCCAGCCTTCCAGGCAGGAAGGGTGGAGGTGCCCAAGGAATTCCTGGATGTGGCTGGGCTGGGGACAAGGTGGGGATGGGGCACAGCTCGGTCCTGATGCCCTGGGAGGGCTTTTCCAGCCTCAGGAAAAGCCCTCCCAAAAATTTCCCCATGGAAAGGGTGTCACCATCACATTTTCTGGAAAAATCTCTTTGCCCTGGACTTTGCTCCTGGGAAGCTGAGCAGCCTCAGAGAAAAATGCAAACAATAATTGTCTGATTTGCTTCTCCTGTGTTTTGCTGCTTTGGAAGGTGGTATGGACATTGTTTACCAACTGGTCAATGTTTGATTGGTTTCATGTCAGTTGTTTTTATTTATTGGCCATTGGTTTTATTTATTGGTCATTTCATTATTTATTATAATGGAAATTCATTACTCTCTACAGAGCCCAGCTGTGTCAGGGCTCTGGAGAGAGTCATGAATTTTCATTATTATCTTTTTAGCCTTCTGTCTGTATCCTTTCTGTATTCTTTAGTATAGTTTAGTACAGTTAAGTATAGCATTCTTTTACATAATATAGTAACATAAAATAATAAATCAGCCTTCTAAGAACATGGAGTCAGATTCATTTTTTCCTCCTCCCTCTGGGAACCTCACAAATACCACAGAAAGAGTGCCCAGGCCTTGGCAGGGGCTGCCCAGGGAGGTTTGGAGCGCCCATCCCTGGAGGTGGCACTCAGTGTGAACGGAAATCCCTGCGGGAATTGTTTAAAGCGAGATGGAAACACGGAATTGGGCGAATCCCAGGAGGATCTCCCCAGGAGCTGGCTTGGAATTAGAACCTGGGTGTGTGTGGCCAGCAGCAGGAATTTCCCCATGGGATTGGAGCTGCCCAGGGAGGTTTGCAGTGCCCATCCCTGGAGGTGTCCCAGCAATTCTGGAGGTGGCACTCAGGGCTCTGGGCTGGGGACAGGGTGGGCACAGCTGGGACTCCGTGACCCTGGAATGCTTTTCCAGCCTCAGGGCTGCTGGGATTGTGCCAGAACCACCCCCCAGGCCCGGGGTACCTCAGCATCGTACTCCCAGAGCTGGTTGCCCCTCAGGTGGTGGCACTTGAGCATGAGGACGGGGCCGTTGAGCCGCGACACGTCCAGGCACAGGTCGTCCGTGCGGATCTCCTTGTCCGCCGTGTAGGAGAACACCTGGAACACAGAGGGGCTGGGAAAGGGCTGGGAACCCCAACCCCGGCCCTGGGAGGGACCTTGGGCTGGGGAGCTGGAGCCTTTCCTCAGAGAAACCCATGGGAATTCAGGGGAAGGGAAAGGTTTTCCACTGGAGGAATCCATGGGAATTCAGGGGAAGGGAAAGGTTTTCCACTGGAGGAATCCATGGGAATTCAGGGGAAGGGTTTTCCACTGGAGGAATCCATGGGAATTCAGGGGAAGGTTCTCCGCTGGAGGAATCCATGGGAATTCAGGGGAAGGTTCTCCGCTGGAGGAATCCATGGGAATTCAGGGGAAGGGAAATCTTTTCCCACTCAGAGGAAGAGAAAGGTTTTCCACTGGAGAAATCAACAGAAATTCAGGGGAAGGGAAAGGTTCTCCACTGGAGAAATCCATGGGAATTCAGGGGAAGGGTTTTCCACTGGAGGAATCCATGGGAATTCAGGGGAAGGTTCTCCCTTGGAGAAATCCATGGGAATTCAGGGGAAGAAAAAGTTTTTCCCATTCAGGAGAAGGGAAAGGTTCTCCACTGGAGAAATCCATGGGAATTCAGGGGAAGGAAAAGGTTTTCCCATTCAGGGGAAGGGAAAAGTTTTCCATTGGAGAAATCCATGGGAATTCAGGGGAAGGGAAAGCTTTTCCCAGCAAAAAAGCAGGGAAATGAGGCCAAGCTCCAGTGAGGATGGAGGAAGTGACAGGAGGAGATGGCAGGAGCTGGGATGAAGCTCCAGGATAAATCAGGGATAAGAACATGGAGCATCCCAGCCTTTCCCAGCAGGAATGTGGCCAGGAGCAGGTGTCTGCAACACCAGAGCTACCAGGGAATTGTAGCTGGCACCAGACTGTGCCAGGCTGGCACCACCCCTGGAAAATTCTGCACATAAATAATAAATTCTAATTAATTAAAATGCAGTTAATTTAAAATATACTTAAAAGTCCCTTTATTATCATTTACATCCCAAACCTCATCTGGAGCAGCCATGCTAATTTGAATATACAATGGAATATGCAAATTTTGTCCTAATTAACCCAGTGTTGTTGGTCACAAGACCAGGAATTCCATCCATCTTTCTACTCCCTTTCCAGCCCCTCCAAATGAAACATCCCAGGCCCCCACTACTGGAATTCCATTAAAGAACTTCCGTGAATATCCCGGATATTTATTTTCCTACACACATTCAGAACAGATGGATCCAGCCATGTTCACGGGGATTCCAGCCCATTTCATTTTTACAAAAGTAAATTCAAATTCCTGATCACATTTCCTAAAGTTCGTGTCTGGAGTGTTAAATTTATTATTAAATGACAGCAGGATTCTATTCAATATATTCACTGGGATACTTCCCATGGATGTGCACCAATATTCCCCTAAAATCTGGAGCTGAAATTGCAAAAAAATGGCTGAGTCCTCTTAAAATCCTTCAGCTCGAAACTGAAAGTATTTTGGAATTTTCATTGATTATTTTGATATTACTTTCACACAAAATCTAAAAAAGAATTGAAAGAGATATTTAAAATATTCCAAAGGAATTCTTGGACAAATAAAGCCACTTTTCCCTGGTTTTATTTACCTGGTTCCCTCCCATGCCATGGCAGTTGAAAAATCCCACTTTTTCGTTCTCCTTGCGGCCCATGTTGTCCAAGCACTGGTTGGTTTCAACATTCCTGATCTGGAGAAAGGAAAGAGGTGAAATATTCCTTAAAATATTTCCTGGACCTGCCAGATCTGTGCAGAAAATTGCAATCTGTGAACAGATCACATTCCCAAATAGTCAGGGAATGGTCTGGGCTGGAAGTGGCCCCAAAGCTCATCCATGGCCAGGGAAACCTGTCAAGCCATGAGGGAATTCAGGATGATTATCCCAAATATGTCAAAATCTCCATTCCTTTTCTCCCTGTTTCTCCCAGAAAACAACAAAGCATCCACTTGGGAAATTCACTTTGAGGCCTGGCGCTGCTCACCTTTGATTTTCACCATTTTTCCTTGGGTTTGAGCCCAGGAGGAACCATGCAGGGCAGGACACGGATCATTTATGGGCTAATGATGCTGCTCCAGCTTGGATGGATCAAATCCTGGCCAAATCTCTTCCGCAAGGCAGGAAAACGTCCAAAAAATGCCCTTCCAATGCCTTAAAAATCCCCCATTTCTCTGCTGCTCCCTGGGCTTTAAGGCTGCAATTCCCTTTTCCTGCTGCACTGGAACACCAGGCAGGGCTTTAATTCCCAGCTCCTGCCTGAGCTGCTGTTTCCATGGGAACTGAGGCCACACTGCACACATCAGGTGTTTTAATCACTTCTTTCTGCCTTTCTCATCCCATTTTCCAGCCTGACAACGTGCCACAATCCCACTTTATTTGACATTCCCTAGACAAGTCCTTTCCTTGCTGGAAACCCCCATTTCCCTTTATTTTGGCAGGATTAAACTTGGAATCCTCCAGTGCCTTTTATTCCTGCCTACAATGGCAAATTTCAGTGGGAAATCACTTCCCTGGATGTCAAAAAAAGCCATTTGTTCCTCAGAGTGTTATTCCAGGATTGTTATTCCATCACCAAATCCTTTGATTGTTATTCCATCATCTCAAATCAACCCGTTCCAGAGCTTTTAAAAGGCAGTGTAGGTACAACTCAATGTAATATTTGTAACTGTGTTTGTTGAAACTGAAAAGAATTCCAGCTCCTGGTGGTCCGTTGTGATTACCAGGAATGTCCTTGACCCTCAGCTCCAGGCTGGGAAACACTCAGTGAACAAACACTCCTTTAAAAAAATCCAAAAAAATCCATTTCTAAGCAATTAATGATGATGGAAGGTTCCCCTCAAGGGCTGCATATTCATTGTGTCAAAATACTAATCCCAAACTTCACTTTTCCAATCTCCTGCTCCACTGGGGAGATAAATTTGCCTGGTGAACATGTGGAATAGACACTTGATTTAAAGGGAGATTTTTAAGGAGAGGGAATATGTTTGGAACAGCAACTTCTCCTTGATAAGGACTTAAAAAAATGGAAATAAAGAGAAATAAGAGACAATAAAGGAACTCCAGGACCTGAGTCTTGGCTCCAAAGCCACTCATCCCCTTGGGAATGGATCCATTGGCTCTGGACACCTCCTGGTTCCCGGCACTTACTGATTTCTTTACTTACTGGTTTGTGGTATTTACTGGATTCCTGCACTTGTTGGTTTTTGGTACCGACTGGTATTCCTTACTAACAGGTTTCCAGTTCTTACTGGTTTCCTCTACTACTGGTTTTTCCTTTACTCACTGATTTCCTGTACTCCTGTTTCCCTTTATTTACTGGTTTCCTGAATTGCTGATTTACTTACTGGTTTCCAGTACTACTGGTTTGCTGTAGTTACTGGTTTCCTTTCCTTACTGGTTTGCTGCCCTTCTTGGTGTCCTGGATTTACTGGTTTTCTTTACTTGTTGGTTTGTTGTAGTTACTGGCTACCTGTAAGGTTGCTTTCCTTTGCTTACTGGTTTCCAGTTCTTACTGGTTTCCTTTATTTCTTGGTTTTCCTGCTTTCCTAGACTTCCTGTTTAGTTGTAATTACTGGTTTCCTTCCCTTACTGGTTTCCACTTCTTGCTTTACTTACTGGTTTGTGTGACCCATGGAGGGCTTCCTGCACAGATTGATTTCCTTTCCTTCCTGGTTTCCTCCACTCCTGTTTTCCTGCACAGATTGATTTCCTTTAATTCCTGGTTTCCTTTAATTCCTGGTTTCCTCTACTCCTGGTTTCCTGCACTAATTAACTTCCTTTCATTCCTGGTTTCCTGCACAGATTGATTTCCTTTCATTCCTGGTTTCCTCTACTTCTTGTTTCCTGTACGGATTGATTTCCTTTAATTCCTGGTTTCCTATTCCTGGTTTCCTCTGCTCCTTATTTCCTGCACAGATTGATTTCCTTTCACTCCTGGTTTCCTCTACTCCTTATTTTCTGCATGGATTGATTTCCTTTAATTCCTCATTTCCTCTACTCCTGATTTTCCTGCAATTCCTGGTGTGCTTTACTTCCTGGCTTCCTGCAATTCCTGCTTTTCTTTCTTTCCTGCTGTGCTGCCCTCCCCTTGTCCCTCCATTCCCATCCCCTCCCAGCAGCCCCATGGTGAATTCCAGTACCTCTCCCAGGGAGTAGTAGCGCCGCGGGATCTGCGAGTCGGGGTACACGTTCTCCAGGTACCAGGAGAAGGGTTTGCAGCCCAGCCTCTCCCGCAGGGCCTTCCTGACAGAAACGTCTCCATAATCCACCTTCACCACGCCTGCAATGGGGACAGAACAGCCCATCAAACATCCCAGTTTGGGGAAAATCCTGGAACCACCTCAGCTCCACTGTACGGCTTTCCTGACAGAAACGTCTCCATGATCCACCTTCACCACCCCTGCAATGGGGACAGAACAGCCCATCAAACATCCCAGTTTGGGGAAAATCCTGGAACCACCTCAGCTCCACTGTACGGCTTTCCTGACAGAAACGTCTCCATGATCCACCTTCACCACCCCTGCAATGGGGACAGAACAGCCCATCAAACATCCCAGTTTGGGGAAAATCCTGGAACCACCTCAGCTCCACTGTACGGCTTTCCTGACAGAAACGTCTCCAGAATCCACCTTCACCAGCCCTGCAATGGGGAAACAACAGCCCATCAAACATTTGGGGAAAATCCCAGAGCTGCCCCAGCTCCCCTGCAGGGCTTTCCTAATGGAAACATCTCCATAATCCACCTTCACCACTCCTAGAATGGCAAGAGAAGAGCCCATCAAACATCCCAGTTTGGGGAAAATCCCAGAGCTGCCCCAGCTCCCCTGCAGGGCCTTCCCGAAGGAAATATCTCCATAATCTACCTTCACCAGCCCTGGAATGGGGAGAGAAAAGCCCATCAAACATTTGGGGAAAATCCCAGAGTCACCCCAGCTCCCCTTCATGGCTTTCCTAACAGAAACATCTTCACAATCCACCTTCACCACCCCTCCAGTGGTTTTCTTAAACCCAGCTTGGCTTTATTAAAAACTCTGGCTCCTGACTCATCTCATCACAAATAAAGATTTTCCTGTTATCCACACAAAAACAAGAGAAGGCACCAGTTAAAAATAGGCTCAATATCCCAAAAATGAGAGCTGAGCTCTCCTCCAGCAGAATTCTGTTTTCCCAGGGAACCGGATCTCTCCAGACTTTTAATTTGGGATGTAATTGTGAGGTGTGCCCCTAATTATGCTGAGAAGTCTATTTCCCACTGGGAGCAGCCCCTGGCTCCTCTCTCCTGGGATCCCAGCTCAGGAATGGGATGAATCAGCTCCCAGAGGAGCTGGGGGATGAGGCTGTGCCAGACAACAGAGCCCTCATTACCAACAGGCAAATTCCTTTGTTCTCCCAGAGAATTATCCAGAGATCCCCATTTTCCTCATTAATAGGAAGGGAAAAGGATCAAAAAGCAGATTAAAAATATTTTAAAATATCATTTTATATTTAGGAATGCCCTATTAAAAAAAACAACCCTATGATTTCCTACTTCTTTTTATGGAGAATTTCAATGAAAACTTTCATTTTATTTCCCTTTCTCCTCCATTTGCTTCTCAATGCTGGGGAACAACCTCATTATATTTTATCTATTAATTAATGCAGATATTAATAACTTGGGAAGAGATCAGGGGCTGGAGCGCGTCCAGGGAAGGGAACGGAGCCGGGCAGGGGCTGCAGAGTCCCTGAGGGAGCCGGGCAGGGGCTGCAGAATCCCTGAGGGAGCCGGGCAGGGGCTGCAGAATCCCTGAGGGAGCTGGGCAGGGGCTGCAGAATCCCTGAGGGAGCCGGGCAGGGGCTGCAGAATCCCTGAGGGAGCCGGGCAGGGGCTGCAGAATCCCTGAGGGAGCCGGGCAGGGGCTGCAGAATCCCTGAGGGAGCCGGGCAGGGGCTGCAGAATCCCTGAGGGAGCCGGGCAGGGCTCACCTGGAGCACAGGAGGATCCCCAGGGATCTTTTCCCTCTCTGGAGTTCCCTGCCAGGAGGGCACAGCCGGGGGGGTCGGGCTCTGCTCCCAGGGAACAGGGACAGGAGCAGAGGGAACGGCCTCAGCCCGGCCCAGGGCAGCTCTGGGGGGATTTTGGGGCAATTCCTGCAGGAAAAGGTGCTCAGGTGGAGCCCCCATCCCTGCAGGGATTTCAGGGCCCTGTGGATGTGGCACTGGGGACAGGGGGCAGTGCTGGCAATGGTTGGACTCAAAGACCTCAGAGAACTTTTCCAACCCAAACAGCTCCAGGACACCTCCCATTCCCATCTCCCGTTTTCAGGAAGCACTCCAGACCTCCAGAGGACCCCAAACCCAGCCGTACCCGGGGAGATGATGTAGAAGAAATCCTTGAACTCGTCCATCCAGACCTCGGCCAGCCTGCGGTTGTTCTTGTTGATGACGTGGCCGGTGCCCCCCGGGAAGGTGTAGGGGGTGGCCTTGCGGAACACGTGTCCCACGTGGGAGCAGGTGACGATCTCCAGGGAGCCCCCACACTGCCAGATCTGCAACGGCAACGGGGCCAACCTGCAGGACACTGCGTGGGACCCAGCACATCCCTCTGGCTGCCCTGGATGGCTCCAGGCCTGGCAGGGGCTCAGAGACCTCGGCACAGAGTCACAGACACCTGTGCCTTGGATTTTAGCCCATGGAAACAATCACCAACTTTGTGTGAGGAGCTACAAGCCACAAGGGTTTGAGTGGAGTGATAGTGAATTTGTCACAGGGTGAAAAAGTAGAATTTTGGGGGTTTAGAATGGGGGTTCCAGCGGCTCAGAGACCTTGGCACAGAGTCACAAACACCTGTGGCTTTGATTTTAGCCCATGGAAACAATCCCCAACTTTGTGTGAGGAGTTACAAGCCACAAGGGTTTGAGTGGAGTGATAGTGAATTTGTCACAGGGTGAAAAAGTAGAATTTTGGGGTTTTTAGAATGGGGGTTCAAGAGGCAAGATGGAGGAATCTGGGCATGTCCTGTCCTTCTTCTTCTTCTTGTCCTCCATCTTAATTGCTTCAATTCAATTATTTTAGTTCTGTTTTTTTTCCAATTATTTATTTCAAATATTTCTTTCCATTTTTAAATTTCAATTATTTATTTCAAATATTTTAATTATTTCAACTTTTCACTTCAATTATTTTATCGCAATTCTTTTACTTCCAGGCTCCTCCTGGCGTTAAATCCCTGAGTTTTTGGAGAGTTTTTTAAACAGGAGCTCTGGTGGAATCTTGGAATTAAAGCTCCTTGACACAGACCTGAGTTCCCATGGCAACCAAGGCAGATTTAGCTAATTAGGGCTCCCTCCATTTCCAGAATTCCACTGGAATGAGGAGGGATGGGATCTGTGGGAGCAGCAGTGAAACATCCCTGTGTTAACTGCTCAGGGACTCAGGGGGAACTTTGGGATCAGGGGTGCCAAGGAATTCCAGAGGGAACATGGAAAAATCCCAAATACACACCTGGGATGTGCCTAGGGAGCAACCTGGGAGCATGAATAACCCCAAATAACTCCATGGAATAACCCCAAATATAGTCTAGAGAACAAATCCCAAATATTCATCTCATGAAGCAACCTAGGAGCACGGAATAACCCCAAATAACTCCATGGAATAACCCAAATAATTCCATGGAATAACCCCAAATCATTCCATGGAATAACCCCAAATAAACTCCAGGGATGTGCTCATATAATAACCCCAAATAATTCCATAGAAAAACCCCCAAAAAATTCATGGAATACCCCCAAATATACCCCAAGGAATAAATCCCAAATATTCACCCAGGATATACTCATGGAGCAACCTGGGAGCATGGAATAACCCCAAAATAAACTTCAGGGATGTTCTCATGGAATAACCCCAAATAATTCATGGAATTATTTGAAATTTGAATATTTGAAATCCCAAATATTCACCACGGATGTGCCCCTGGAGCAATCTGGGAATAACAGGACACACAACTGGGGCACCCTCCATCCCAAATCTGAGCACTCCCCTGCTGCTTTCCCATTCCAGCTGGCAGGGAATTCCTCCCACACCACCATTTTTCAGAAATCTCTGCTCCTGGACACTTTTCCAGCCCATTTTTGGCTCTCCTTGGAGCAATCTGCTCCCTGGGCCAGCTGGGATGGGATGTGGGGGAACCTGCACCCTCTTCTTAGGGAAAGGAATTATTCAACTTTTCTATTTAAATCCCAATAAATCAACATTCTGGGACACTCCCCGGGAACGTGTCTGCTTCCCAAAAGTTCCCATCCTGCCTAAGAATTGTGGGGTTTCAGGGATCTGCTCCCCTCACAGCACATGGGATGCATTCATCCCTGGCTGTGGTGACCCCAGGGAGTCAGGGAATTCTGGAATGGCTTGGGATGGAAGGACATTAAATCCCATTTATCCCATCCACCCAGGGACCCTCCCACTGTCCCAGGCTGCTCCAGCAGGAAAATCCAGAGAAATCCCCTTCCCCCTGTACTTCCAGCAGCGCCAGAAATCCCAAATAAACCCCATCCTACCCCACCCAGAGCTCACATTCCCTTTCCCAGCCTAAGGAATCCTAAGGAATAATCTCATAGGAATTTTTTTTTCTGATGGACAGATCATTTTTAATTCCTGTAGGAAATCCTTTCAGAGCTTCAAGTTTTCAGGGCATTCTCCAAGTAGGATAAAACCACTTGGAGAATTTAACAGAAAACTAAAAATTTCAGTAATTCCATAAATAAAAATAAAGTTTAGAAATAAATCAGGCTTTCTTTGACTAAAGCAGACCCCTGGAGCTGTAAGAGATTCCTACCAGGAATTGTCATTATTTTTCCCCTAATTAAAAGACATGCCTAAAAGGAGTCATTAAAGACCCATCAGCAACAAGAAGCAGCTAAAAGAAAAAACATGGATTTTCCCAAAATAATCAAATTATACCCCATGGATGCTCCTCCTGGAAATGCCCCTGAGAGCAAAAAAGCTGGAAATCCTTTTAATGATTCTTTGGGATAATGCTGGAGCTGGATGCAGATGAGACAGACACGATCCAGGGAAAGCAAAGGCACTGCATAACATTTATGAGGATTCAGGAATTCACAAAGTATGGTGGGGAATGGCTGGGTTTATTTTATTTTTTGGGATTTATTTTATGGGATTTATTTTTATTATTCTGAACCAGTCCCAAATCTCTTCCCAGCCTTTGGTGATAAAATCCTGGGTGTAAGAACAGGAACACCCCTGTGCCTCACTCCAATCCGAACTCTCTCCCACAGCAGGAATTGCTCCCAGAGCTTTCCTGACAGGAAAAATTCCCAAATCCCACTGAACAGGGCAGCTTTGGAGCTGGAGGAACCTCCCTGATCCTTCAGCTCTCCTGGCCCTCATTTTCCCAAGGACTTGTTCCCTCAGCTGGGATTTGAACCCTTTGATGTCCCTGATAAAGTCTCACATAATATTCCTGGATTTTCAGTTGGTTTTCCTTCCAGAGGCTCTAATAAATCCCAATAAACAGCACCAGGTGATTCCCTGGCCTTCCCATGGCAATATCTCCATTTATTCCTACCCCTGACCCCATTAATTCACTGGTTTAGGGTGGAAAGGCACATTTGGAATGCTTTAACAGTGCCTGGCACTCCCTGCTCCAGGGATCTCCTGTAGAACATGGAAAAGCATGGAAAAGCATTCCTGCACAGGGGCCTGGCACACCCCAGGAGGAATTTTAGGATTTAAAACAGCAAAAAATGTGGGAATCTCCTCATTGGAAGCATCCAGGCTCAGGGGAGGAACTGAACCCTTTGATATTCCTGCAAAGGGAACAATTAAAGTTCAGAGGAATGGCCTGCGAAAGCTTTCAAATTCCCAGCTGGTGTTCCCTGGAAAAATCTGTTCCCTAAAAACTTCAAAGGGGTCCCTGGCAGGGAAAACTCCTGGCTGAGTGGAACAGACAAGAAAATGGGGGAAAGGCATTGCCAGGGTGTGCTGGGGGCACCAGAGGGGTCCTGGGGGTCATTCCCAGCACTGAGCCCAGAAACTGGGACACATCCCAGGGGTTCCAAGCCATTCCCACCATCCCTTCCAACCATTCCTCAATTTCCCACTTTTCCATCCCAAGGGCAGTGACTGGATGCATTTCCCTGAGCTGTGGCTCACCCCTACCCCAGCAGGAACATCAGCATTTTCTGCAGGAGAGGAATTTCCCTGGCCCAGACCCAGAATTCCAGCTGGAACTTGCAAGTCCATGATGTCACCATTCCCAAAACGTCTTAAAACATATTTTTAATTTTATTTTTTGACATAAATTCGTATCAAACTTCCACTGGGCACCTCGTTTCTTCCATGAAGGAATGACCAAAATATATGGAATTTTGGAGGGATAAAACCCTCAATACTAAAATATTCCATGCAGCAAAAAAATCCCAAAATGCCCCAATGCGGTTCCCCCAAATTTTAAAAATTCCATCTTTTAATTATTTATTAAATAATGACAAATCATGACTTGCAGGCCAGCTAAAGCAGGAGCTCTCTGAAGGAATGACAGCACAAATGGGGGATATTTTCTGGGGGGGAAAAGAAAAGGAAGGAAAACAGGAATTACCCTAAAGGACATTTCAAGATTCTCGCCACCCCAGATATCCATTCCTGCATCGTAAGTTCCTATCTCTTCAAAGTAGCTCCTGTCAATAGAAAACAGGCCACCAGCCATAGTTGGGGTCCTGGGTGGGAAACAAACAGGAAAAAAACAAAGGAAAACAGAAAAGAAAAGGAAAAAAAAAGGGAGAAAGGAAAGAGAAAAGAAAAAAGAAAAAAGACCTTTTAAAGGATGCTCTGGAATTTACAGCACATTTCACTACACAGGAATTCTACAGAAAACAACTAGAAAAGGAGAGTTTTAACTGGATTTTCCCTGCTCTTCCCCAAAATCCACAGAGCTCAGCCCAGCCACACTCCAGGGTTGCTCCCATTTCCATGGATTATTTTAGGAGAATTGTGAGGGTAAATTGGGTGGGATTTGGCCCTCCTGAATGAGCAGCAGCTCAAATCCAATCAGGAATGCTTGGCAGGAGTTAAATGGGGAAAAAAAGACTTTTGAAGGACACAGTGGAATTTGCAGCACATTTCACCACACAACAATTCTATGGAAAACAAATAGGAGTTATGAAAAGAGAATTTTAACTGGATTTCCTTGCTCTTCCCCAAAATCCATGGAGCTTGGACCCAGCCACATACCAGGGAGCAATAAAGACAATTTGGAATGGATTTTTCCTGCTGTTCCCCAAAATTCACAGAGTGCAGGCCCAGCCACACTGCAGGGAGAAATAAAGAAAATTCTGCCTGGATTTTCCTGTTCTTCCCTAGAATCCACAGACCTCAGACCCAGCCACACTCCCATTTCCATGGATTATTTCAGGGGAACTGTGAGGGTAAATTGGGTGGGATTTGGGCATCCTGAGTGAGCAGCAGCTCAAATCCAATTGGGAATGGATTCGGGAGCAGTTTCATGGCTGGGTTTTGCCTCAGAGGGAGCCCAAAACGCATCAAAGGAGCAGGAAAACCTCAGCTAGGAGGATTAAAGATCCTTACAAATAGGCAATCCCAGGGGATGGCTGAATGTCCCTGGAAATGGAAATGCCATGGAATGCCCAGCCCAGTTGCTGGGAGGGAACAACTCAATTCCAAATCCCAGCTCTGCTCTGAGATCCCAACACCTCAATCCCAAATCCCAGCTCTGCTCTGAGATGTCCCAGCACAGCCAAAGGGGTCTGGGGGCTCAGCCCATCCCAGCCCCTCTGCTGAGGTCCCAGCAGCCCCAAACCTGTGGGATTTGGGGCAGTGACCCTTGGGAGGAGGCTCTGGAGCTGCTGCAGGGCTGGAGCCAGGCTGGGAGGGCTGGGAATGTTCCCCTGGAGAAGGGAAGGCTCCAGGCAGAGCTCAGAGCCCCTGGCAGGGCCTGAAGGGACTCCAGGAGAGCTGAGAGGGACTGGGGACAAGGGATGGAGGGACAGGAGCCAGGGAATGGCTCCCAGTGCCAGAGGGCAGGGATGGGTGGGACATTGGGGATTGGGAATTCCTGGCTGGGCTGGGATTGCCAGAGCAGCTGTGGCTGCCCTGGATCCCTGGCAGTGCCCAAGGCCAGGCTGGAGCAGCCTGGGACGGTGGGAGGTGTCCCTGGGTGAAATGGGATGGGATTTAAGGTCCTTCCCAATCCCAACATTCTCATTCCTCCTTCTTTCTTCCCTGGGTGCAGACACTCTTTGCTTGATACAAAATTCCCTATTTTTTCCCAGAATGAGCCTTAAGCAAATTTAGAAGGGTAAAACTGAACTGGACACACAGACCTGGATTCTTCCAAAGGGCCCCAAATGTTCTTTGTTTTCTGAAACCAAACACTTCCCAAATCCCTCCCCGACAAACCTGGGAGTGCTGAGTTTCACTCTGGAAAATTCAGTGACTCCTGCCTGAATCCCCAGCCCAGCTCCAGGGATAAGGGAATGCAGCAGGCAGAACTGTTCTCTGGGATGTGAATTTAATGGGACACAAGCAGACCTGCAGAGCTTTCCTTGGAAAATCCCCTCCACCAAAACACCCTCCACCAAAACCACCTCCACCAAAATATCGGGAAGGTCAAAGGCCTTAAAGTGGTTTTTAAACTGTAAAAATAATTTTTTTTCCTCAGTTCTGCCTCTTTTCCCTGTGGAATCACCAGACAGCTCCTGGGAATTGCTGTGATTGACTCAGGATTCCCATTCCTGCTCAGAAAACACGGGAGCAATCCCAGGTTTGCTGCATCCCAGGCAAGGCACAGCCCAACCAAGGATTTCATGATGGGAGAGGAAGAGAGATGGCAAAGGGATTCCAGCCCCGGAGCTCCCCATGGCATCACCTCGTCCTGCTTTTCCCAAGGAATCCTGTCCTAGGAAGGGCTCCAGCAGCACAAAATCCCCTCAACCAGACCTCTGTGGGTATATCTGGGAATAAAGGATCAACATCAATCCCAGCAGTACAAAATCCCACTAAACCAGACCTCTGTGGGTATATCTGATCCACCAGGATCAACATCAATCCCTGCTGTTCATTACCCAGGCAGGGTTAATTAACTGCAATCAACTCCAAGTTTAATTATTCATAATCAAGATATTAATATAATATCGAGATAATAAGTAATGCATTTATAATATCCAGAGTTCCAGGAGCATTTGGAAAATGCTCCCAGGCACAGGGGGGGATTTTAGGGATGTCTTGCAGGGGCAGGGGTTGGATTGATGGTCCTTTCCCTTCCAGCTCAGGAAATTCCATGATCCTGACACATTCCTGATATTTAATCTTGTCTTTTTTTCTATTTTTTGATCTTGCATTTTTTCTAGGATTTGATCCCTAATTTATACAAAACATTCCCTGGACCACAATCCATATTTTTAGTATTTCTAATCCCAGCCTGGAGTGCCTTCAGCTTCGAAAACTGAGGGAAAAGCATGGAAATATCCACAAAAATGGGCTGTGCCAAGCCTGGAAATGCCCATGATTTTGGGATTCTCTGACACCAAAGACTGAAGTTCCTGCAATAAAACCCGAGATTTTGGACTTAATCCAGCCTAGAGCACCAACCCTTCACTCTCAGCTCTTTGTGACAACTGTGGCACAGGTGACACTTGTCCCTCTGCCCCCCTTTGCTTCCCAACTCCCATTTTATCCAGAGAATCCCCCAAAACTCCAGCCAAAAACTGATGGGAAAAAGAAATTAATTCAACAAACCCCATTTTTTTTTGCTTTATCAATTTTACGAGTTAATTCAGTGTGTGAGTTGGGATTAATTTTGAGCCCAGCTCCATTTCAAGGCAAGGAAATAAGGATGGATGGATGGACGGAGCTCAGCAAGGCCCTGCAGCTCGTTAGGATAATTCATTTTCCCAATTTCCATGCACACCTGAGCTTTAATCAAGAGCTGCTGGACTGGAAAGGAAATTTTGGATCAGGAGGAAAACAATTCCCTTGGCTCTGACAGCCAGGGCCTGCTGGCTTTTCCTGGGAACAAACCCCAAATCTGCCCTTCCCTAATTCCAGCCTTGCCAGGACAATCAGGGACAGAAATGGGAATTTTGAAAGCCATTTTGGAAGGATTTTCCTGCCCTTCCATCCCTCCCTTGCCTGGACTGATCCCTGAGCTGCCCCCTCCTCCAACTTCAGGCTGGAATTCTTCCCCTTTCCCAGATTTAAATCCATTCCATCCACTCAGGAACCATTTTTGGTCTCTTTTGGAATTTTGCAGGAAGCCCCAGCAGCTGTTGGAGCTGAGCAAACATCCCATGGCCAGGAATTTATTCCATTTGTTCCCTTTTCAGCTCCATTTGCAATTTTGGAAGAGGTTCTGTTCCACTCTGTGATTCCAGCAATTAAATGGAAGAGGTCAGGACATGCTCTTGGATCATTTTTCCCCCAGGGTGCTCCGTTATCAATCCCATTTTCCAAGCAATAAACCAGGAATTTAAGTGCAAATCACTGGGGTTCAAAGCTCAAAAGTGCTCAACAATCCTTTAGAATATCTGCCCTAAATTCCAAAAAAAAATGGGCATTTAAATCCCAAAAAACAGGAATAAAATGCACTTGCAGCAAATTAACAGAGGGAGCTGAACAGGCAGAAATCTTTGGAATTCCTGAACACTGGAGCTAAACAAGGAGAAATCTTTGGAATTCCTGAACATTGGGAAGAGGATGGGATGCGGTTAAGTACAAATTAATGAGGTTCAAAACTCAAAAATGCTCAGAAATCCTTTGGAATATCTGCCTCAAATTCTGAAAAAACAGGAATGAAAATCCATTAACAGCAAATTAACAGAGGGAGCTGAGCAATTCCTGAACATTTGGAAGAGGACAGGATCAGGTTAACTGCAAATCACTGGGGTTCAAAGCTCAAAAGTGCTCAGAAATCCTTGGGAATATCTTAAATTCTGAAAAAATGGGAATAAAAATCTCTTTGTAGCAAATTAACAAAGAGAGCTGAACAGGCAGAAATCTTTGGAATTCCTGACCTTTGGGAAGAGGATGGCAAGGGAGTAAGTGCAAATCAAAGCTCAAAAATGCTCAGAAATCCTTTAGAATACCTGCCTCAAATTCCAAAAAAATGGGAATAAAAATCTGCTTGCAGCAAATTAACACAGGGAGCTGAGCAAGCAGAAATCTTTGGAATTCCTGAACATTTCGAAGAGGAAGAGGATGGGATGGGGTTAAGTGCAAATCACCGGGGTTCAAAACTTAAAAATGCTCAGAAATCCTTTGGAATATCTGCCTTAAATTGCAAAAAATAGGAATAAAAATCCACTAACAGCAAATTCACAAAGGGAGATCAACAGGCAAAAATCTGAGGATTTCCTGAACACTGGAGCTGAACAAGCAGAAATCTTTGGACTTCCTGAATGTTTGGAAGAGGAAGAGGATGGGATGGGGTTAAGTGCAAGGCACTGAGGTTCAAAGCTCAAAAATGCTCAGAAATCCTTTGGAATATCTGCCTTAAATTACAAAAAAAAAAACGTGAATAAAAATCCATTAACAGCAAATTAACAGAGAGAGCTGAACAGGCAGGAATCCTTGGAATTCCTCAATCTTTGGAATTCCTCAATCTTTGGAATCCTTTGGAATTCACTGGGAAGAGGATGGGATGGGGCTGGCCCACGCTTGCAGCAGCGAGGACACGCCGGGCTCTCAGCCACTCTGCCTGTGATCCTGCAGCGGAATTTTGGGATCTGTGGGGATTTTTGGGAGAAGAGCAGCACTGACCTGACGGGCAGGGTCCTGTCCCCTTTCCTGCGGTCCATCTCCCTCTGGGGCACGGGGTACCAGCGGAAATTCAGCTTCCAGTTGAAGCCCCCGTAGGTCATGTCCGAGCCCGCCATGTACTCGAAGGTGTCGTCGCTGATCACGTCGATGATGGGGCACACCACGGTTTTCCTGGGGAAAAAAATGGGAATTTGGGGTTATGGGGGTGTTTGGGCAGGGAGGGAGGGAACGGGGAAAAGGGGGAAAGAAGGGGGAATAAAATGAGGGAGAAAGGGAAAAGAGGGAGGGAAGACAGGGAAGAAAGGGGGAAAATGGGAGAGGATAAAGAAAAGGAAAAAGGTGAGAAAGGGGGAGGAATGGGAGGAAAAGAAGAGGGAGGAAAAGGGGGGAAAAGAGGAAAAGAGGGGAAAAAGGGGGGAAAAATAAGAGAGGAAAAAGAGAAGGAAAAAGGTGGGGAAGGGAGAGGAATGGGAGGAAAAGAGGGAGAAAACGGGAAGAAAAGAAGGAAAAGGGGGAGAAAGGAGAGAGAAAAAGGGGGGAATAAAATGAGGCAGAAGGGGAAAAGAGGGAGGGAAGACAGGGAAGCAAGGAGGAAAAAGAGAAGGAAAAAGGTGGGAAATGGAGAGGAATGGGAGTAAAAGAGGGGGAAAAGGGGGAGAAAAGAATGAGTAAAAAGGGGGGGAGAAAAAGGGGACAATAAAATGAGGGAGAAGGGGAAAGAGAGGAAAAAAGGGGAAAAATAGGAGGGGAAAAAGAGAAGGGAAAAGGTGGGAAAGGGGGAGGAATGGGAGAAAAAGAGGGCAGAAAGGGACAGAAAAAGGAGGGAATAAACTGAGAAAAAAGGGGAAAAGAGGGGGGAAGGGTGAAAAGGAAGAGAAGAAGAAAGGAAAATAGGAGGGGGGAAAAGAGGGAAAGGGAAAGAAAAGGGGGGAAAAGAGAGGGGAAACAAAGTAAAGGTAGGGGAAGAAGGGAAAAAAGGGGGGGAAGGGAGAAAAAGGGAGAAGGGGGAAAGGGAGAAAAGGGGAGGAAGAAGGGAAAGAAGGGAAAGGGAGGAAAGGGGGAAAAGGAGAATAATGGGGAAAATCAAGGGCAAGCGGGAAATGAAGGGAAAGAAGTAAGAGGTAAAAGGGGGGAAAGCTGGGGAAGAAGGAAAAAAGGAGGGAAAAGGGGAGAAAAAGAGGGGAAAAGGAAAAACAAAGATGGAGAAAAAGGGTGAAAAAAAGGGAAAACAAGAAAAGAGAAGGAATAAAAAAGGTGCAAATTTCCACAAGTTCAGGGGGCCAGAGAGAGTTGTTCCTGGTGAAAAACAGGGAGAAAGCTTCCTTTGAATGGGAGAGATCCAGACTTTGGGAAAGCTGCTCCCACATTTATTCAGGAATGAGATTTTGATTCAAACAGCAGAGAATTCAGAAAATATTCAATGTTGTCTTCATTCTAGCTCAGTGAATCCTTTTCATTCCCATTTTTCAGCACCAGGGAAGGGCCTGGAGCAGATCCCTGCCTCTGGAGCTGGGAACTCCTCACCTGTCCTCCTTGATCCTGGCCAGCAGGGGCTCCAGCCAGCCCAGGGTGCACTCACAGTGGGCATCCAGGAACGTGATCACCTGGCCCTTGGCAGCTGCTGCCCCTCGGAGCCGGGCCCGGATCAGCCCCGACCTCTGCTCCATCCGCAGGATCCTCACGGGCACCTCCAGCTTCTTCACGTAGTTCTCCAGGGAGGCCTTCAAAAACTCTGCCAGAATTGGGGAGAACAGAAGGAAAATGGGATATTTTTAGGAGGTTTTATTCCAAGGGGGTCACAGAACCTCCCTGCTTGGAGCATCTCGTGGGGGTCCCTTCCAAGCCAAAGCATTCCCTGATTCCAGGATAATATCTCAGGAATTTTAAACAAAGCACAATCAGTTCCTTGGAATGAACCAGCAACCACAAAACAAAGACACTTTGGGCAATCTGCAGCTGGTTCAATAAAAAAAAAAAAGGATTTTTTTTTGATGGATTTCCCCATTGGAGCTCTTTGCATGCTTTTAGGAAAAATGGGAATTACTTGGCTCAAATCCTCCTCCACCTTCTGGCACAGGGAATCATTAAGCCACTTAATGAGCAGGGAAATCCAGGGAGTAATTAGGGTTCAATTAATGCTCCATGGGGCAGAAGTGAAGGATGGAGTGGCTGCAGGGTTGAGTTTGCCATCAGCACCCATTGGGCTGCTCCAGGAGCCTGTCTCATTCCACTGGTTCCATTTAAGGAACTTGATGGGATTCCTTTTCCAGGGACTCCCAGTTCCACAGGCAGAGTTTGCTTTTTAAAGTCTGGGGTCAAAACAGAAATGAAAAGGGAAAAAAAAAAGTGAAGAATGAAGGAAATTAAGCACAAAGAGGTGCAATAAAGGCAGAGCTGGTATGAGATGGTCCCTTCCAAGCCAAACCATTCTGGGAGTCTATGGAAATGATTTAGTGGGGATATTCAGGAAATGGAATAACATGGAATGAGGAGGGTGGAGAGACAGGAAGAAAAGGATTGACCTTTCCAGGAATATCAAATTAACTGAGCTGGATCTGATCCAGGGCCTGAAGGGGCTCCAGGAGAGCTGCAGAGGGACTGGGGACAAGGGATGGAGGGGCAGGAGCCAGGGAATGGCTCCCACTGCCAGAGGGCAGGCATGGATGGGACATTGGGAATTCCTGGCTGGGCTGGGATCCCCAGAGCAGCTGTGGCTGCCCCTGGATCCCTGGCAGTGCTCAAGGTCAGGCTGGACAACTGGGATGGTGGGAGGTGTCCCTGCCATGGTGAGGGGCTGGATTAGGTGCCCTTTAAAGGTCTCCTCCAAGCCAAACCATCCTGGATTCCATTAATTTTTTCCACCCCGCTCTAGAACCCACTACTGCCGGGATGAGCTGGGTGAGACCCACACTCTGAGCCGTCCCTGAGGGGCAGGAGGAGGGGATGGGATGGGCTGTGGGATGGGGAGTGCAGTGGCAGCCCCACCTCTCTCGCTGGCATCATCCACCAGCAGGATCTCGGCCAGCAGGCGCGGCGGGGAGCGCTCCAGCACGCTGTGGATGGTCCTGAGCAGCGTGCTCCACGCCTCGTTGTGGAACACGATCACCACGCTGGTGTTGGGCAGCTCCTCCGGGTACACCTTGCTCTTGCACCTGCCCAAAACACCCAGCGAACAGGGAAAGGGGTCAGGCCACAGCAGGGACAGCCCGGAGGGGGATCTGTGCCTTCCCGGCATGGAAAAGGGGCTTGGGGGGCACCACGGCACTGCTGCCACTCCCAGGGAATGATGGGGCAGGAATTACAGGGGCAAAATGCCAGAAACTGGAATTCCAGTGGCTCTGAGGCAGGATGGAAAAGGGGCCTGGAAGCAGCCATGGCTCTGCTCCAAGGGGAACCTGCCACATTTCAAGCTGATGGGATGAATTAAGGAACAAACTGGAGAGCCAGAAATTGGCATTCCAGCTGTTCTGAGCATGACACAAGCTGGAGAAGGGGCTCATCCCACTCTCCCATTCCTGACATCCCCAGCAGGGATCAGGCTCCACCCCAGGGTTCCAATTCCAGCCCTGAGCTGTTTAATCAGGAATTCCAGGTACAGCCATTCCCAGGTGGATCTGGCTCCAAGGAGGTTTGGAGCACACTGGGAATGATCTGAGATGAGCTGCCAAGGAAAGGCAGAGCTGACCCAGGACTGATCCACCAGGAATGTTGAAATCCTGCCTGCTTTCCCAAAGTTCCCACTCCAGGACCAAACCCTGCCAGTGAACCAAGCACCATTCCATTGTTTAGGGTATTTCTGGGAAAACCAGGAATGCAGGGCACCTGCACATCCTTTAAAATGGGAAACAGCCACGGATTTTTCAAAGTTAATCCATGCACACTTAAGCCTTCAAATTCCCCTCCCAAATCCCATTTCCAGAGGTCTGTGGGAAATGTGGGATCCCAGATTCCCTGCAGATTCTCTGGGAGAAGATCCCATGGGAAGGAGGTGAGGGCCCTTCCAAGACAGCCTGAAAATTCACCCTTGGGAAAAAAAAATCCCTGCAAAATAACCCTGAGTTTATCTGGGATTTTAACCAAACTGCTCCAGCATTTCCTGCAATTCCAAGCCCCTTGAAACCAGGAATAAAAGAAATAAAAAATCCCCCCCTAAGGAACAATTTTCCTTAAATAAAATCTCTTTTCTCCTCCATCCAGGGATGTCTTGGGGGCCCCTCCGAGGCTGCCAGGGAGGAAAATCTGTTTTCCATGATTTTCACACTAATTAAGGAGCTGACAGCTCCTCTTTTCCAATTATATCTCCCATGCAAACGGCTGCTCCAAAGGCAGCTGCAGCCCACGTGGAAAACATGGGGGGAGAACAAGGACTGTGCTTCTGCAAGGGAAACGTTCACATTTTCTCAGAATAAAGGAGAACTGCAACAATCCCAGGGCGTCCATGCCCATGGAAAACATTCCAGGGATATTCCATGGAGTGACAGATTTGCCATCACTCATCCATGGGATCAGGGATGGGCTGGGATGGAAGGACCCGAAATCCCAGTCCTGCAATGGGCAGGGACATCTCCCTCTGTCCCAGCTGCTCCAGCCTGGCCTTGGGCACTGCCAGGGATCCAGGGGCAGCCTCAGCTTTGCTGGAATGTTGTGCCAGCATCTCCCCACCCTCTGAGGATGGAATTTTTTATCCACCACAACTAAGAACTGGAAAAACCCCAAATCCAACAGGTCCTGCTGCAGAACAAATGCATCAGGGGTGGCTATCCCAAAATAAACCAGTTTTCCCTCCCCTAAGGGCTGAATTTCAGGAATAACAATCAAAATCCAATCAAGAATTCCTGCCCTGAAACACAGATCTGAGGGAAGGATTTTCCCAATTTAAGGGAGTTTTCCCACACATCCATTGCCACTGCTCCCCCCCAAGCCCTTTCCCCCACCTAGGATCACATCCCAATATTTTTTCCTTTGGAGAATCCCCACAAAACTCCAGCTCCATGTTTAACCCTGGCAGCTGTTGCAGAAATCCCAATGTTTCTGCTCAGCCCTGGATGTTCCCAAGCACTGAACACACCCAAGAGCCAATTCCAGCTGCAATCTCCAGGAGAAAATCCAATTAGGATGCCCCAGCAATCCATGGAATAGCACTTGCAGACTCACTCATCCAGAAAAGATTGAGGATGGATTTCTTCCCTCGCTGGGGAAAATCCTTGGGAACGAAATGAGGCGTTTCCCTGGTGAGTTAAGCTGGGTTTAAGGTCCATCAATAGCTCCTAATTAGAGCTGGCTCTGATTAAAATCTCCAGCTTGGCCATTTCCAACAGGACCCTGGAAATCCAGGGACATTCCCTGACAGAAACCCCAGGATGGAAAGGGAATGAAATCAAATTCTGTGTGTGAGATCCCACAGATCAGCTGGAATTAAACCATCAGTCCCAGGGTTGGGATGCAATGGCAGCCAGTCCTGCTTGGATACAGCAATGGGATGGGGAATTTCTGGGGTCCTGATGAGAAATCCCAGTCCCACAGAATCCCATTGACCCTGGAGCCAGGCTGGGAGAGCTGGGGATGCTCATCTGGAGAAGGGAAGGATCCAGGCAGAGCTCAGAGCCCCTGGCAGGGCCTGAAGGGGCTCCAGGAGAGCTGAGAGGGACTGGGGACAAGGGATGGAGGGACAGGAGCCAGGGAATGGCTCCCAGTGCCAGAGGGCAGGGATGGATGGGACATTGGGAATTCCTGGCAGGGAGGGTGGGGACGGGCTGGGCTGGAATTCCCAGAGCAGCTGGGGCTGCCCCTGGATCCCTGGCAGTGCCCAAGGGAGGTGTCCCTGCCACAGCAGGGCCAGGAGGGATGGGATTCCAGCCCTCAGCCCATCTCAATCCCTGGCATTTCTGGGATGGGATTTTGGCCCCCAGCCCACCCTAGTCCCCTCATTCCCAGGATGGGTTCCAGCCCCCATTCCCAGCCCAGGATGGGATCCCAGCCCCGTTCCCATTCCAGCCCCTCACCCGTCCAGCCGCACGTCGGGCAGGCTGCGGTTCAGCGCGATGCGGTCGCTGGCCAGCAGGTTGAACTGGTTGATCTTGAACAGCTCCTTCATCTTCTCCTGCTCCTCCTTGGGGATGAGCACGGCCCTGCCCATCTCCCCCGGGCCCTCTTGGTTCCTGGAAATAACGGCTGGGAAACCAAACGGCAAAAGGTGCTGTGAGCACCTGGGAATTGGATTCATCCTTAGGGAAGCTTCTGGTTTTCCACAGGGAATGCTGGAAATCCAACCCCCATTCTCCCTCCAACGCCCATCCTCCCTGCTCCACTGGGAGCTTTTATCCCTCTCTGCATCCAAGAACATCCAGTTTTATACCAAGATGACTGAACCCCTCGGATTTGTTCCCTTCCACTATCCCAGATTGCTACAAGCCCCATCCAAGCTGGCCTTGGACACTTCCATGGATCCAGGGGCAGCCTCAGTTTCTCAGAGAAGCTGGGGCTGTTCCTGGATCCCTGCGATGTCCCAAGCCAGGCTGGACAGGGCTTGGAGCAGTCTGGGACAGTGGGAGGTGTCCCTACCCATGGAATGGGATTTAAGGTTCATTTTAACCCCAATCATCCCATAAAACACAAACACAAACTCAGACAACACCAAAGCAGCACTAAATCCTGCAGATCCTGGGATTTCCTTGTAGGAAAGGCATTCTGTGCTGTTCTTGTGAGCCAGCAAAGGCCTCCTGAAGATACGGAAAGCCCCATATCTCTCCTGAGGAAGTCACCAAGGTTGTCACCATGGAGATGTGATGAAGGAGAGAAAGTTAAGAGATACAGACTCCAGTTGGCTCACAGAATGATGTGGCTTCTTGGTCACCTACTGAGAACTTTGTTTCTTTCTTGTAACCAATGGGCAGTGAATGTGTTTGTTAAGTAAATGTGGATATCTTGAAAAAGTATAAAAGCAACATGTCACTAAAATAAATCCCTCTTGCACCCTTCTGATGGAGTCGTGGTACTTTGTGCTGTGTGGTGCTCTATAACATTCCCTCTGCTGGGAAAAGCAATTTTGAGACACAAATGTGAGGTGAAATGTGACAGGGTTCACAGGGGTCCCAGGATGAGGGGAGAGACGAGGATCTGACTCCATGTTTCAGAAGGCTGATTGATTATTTTATGATATATATTATATTAAAACTATACTAAAAGAATAGAAGAAAGGATTTCATCAGAAGGCTGGCTAAGAATAGAGAAAGAATGATCACAAAGGTTTGTGACTGACCAAGACAGTCTGGACAGCTGACTGTGATTGGCCATTAATTAGAAACAACCCCATGAGCCCAATCCCAGATGCACCTGTTGCATCCCACAGCAGCAGATAACCATTGTTTGCATTTTGTTCCTGAGGCCTCCCAGCTTCTCAGGAGGAACAATCCTAAGAAAGGATTTTCCATAGAAGATGTCTGCGACAGCCAAACACCCCCAAGCCCTGCCAGGATCAGCTGGAAGAGGCGGGGGGCAGCACTCACCGCGCAGGGCGGGCAGCAGGGAGCGCTCCTTGCTGTCCTCACACTTGTTGCACTCGCTGAAGTAGAGCAGCAGGAACACGTCCAGCAGCACCCAGAGCAGCGAGGTGGCCAGCACCACCCGGCAGTAGCCGAACCTCCTCATGGCTGCTGGCACCCTGCGACGGCGGGAGCACAGCGGGGTCACAGCGCCAGGGCACGGGGCTGCCAGGCAGGCAGGGAGCAGCAGCCCGCTGCGGGCACAGAGACAGCAGGTTCTCTTGGGTTCATGGATATTCATGCTTTTACTGAACACTGTTTGACACTGAAATGTTCACTTTCCTCAAATATAGGATTTTAGATTTCTCAGCATTGAATTTTTATCCTGCAAAAATATTTCGGACTCCACCCAGTGAGCACCAAAGAGTCCTTGGAAAAGGCAGCAGAGTCACTGATCCAGGGTGGGTTTGGGCTCCTGACTGAATTTGGGAGTTTGGAAAACAAAGCTAAAGGTGAGGCCTCCACACCCAGCTCTCCAAAGGGTGGAGCCAGGCTGGGAGAGCTGGGAACGTTCCCCTGGAGAAGGGAAGGATCCAGGGAGGGCTTCCAGAACATTCCAGGGCCTGAAGGGGCTGCAGGAGAGCTGCAGAGGGACTGGGGACAAGGGATGGAGGGATAGGAGCCAGGGAATGGCTGCCAGTGCCAGAGGGCAGGGATGGATGGGACATTGGGAATTGGGAATTCCTGGCTGGGCTGGGACTGCCAGAGCAGCCCCTGGATCCCTGGCAGTGCCCTGGGACAGTGGGAGGTGTCCCTGGGTGGATGGGATAAATGGGATTTCAGGTCCCTTCCCATCCAAACCATTCCAGAACACCATGCTCTCCCCTCCTGAGGCTGCAATCAGTAATTAGAGCTCTGTAATTAATGACCCCCACTCACCATCACTGCCTGCATTCCGTGCCCACACTCCGTGTCCTGCTCCAGCCATGCTCCCACAGAATTCCCTCAGCACTGAACCACCGGACAATTCTCCAAGTGCCTGGAATAGAAAAAGAGAAGAAAATCCCATCACTTTTCCATATTTCCTGAAACATAAAGAAATTTCTTATAATTAAAAATCCCTCCTCAGTTTTATGCACATTTTAACTTCCTTATCCTCCCCACCTCAGCTCCTCATTCCCAAGTGGGATCTTTCCATTTTCCATCCCATTTTAATTCATTTTCATCTGAGCCAAAGGGATGGAAGACCTGGAGTGATTTAAATAATTTAAATAAATGATTTATTTAATTATTCTTGCAGCATTTCTGCATGGACTCCTCATTAATAACAATTTCCATCTGTCCTAAATATCAACCAATGGCTCTTCCTGCTGAGGGATTCCCAGGACGCTGATTTAAAATTCCAGGAATTGCTGTTCCAGGGTAACACAATCCATTTCCACAGTGGGCACAGGGAACAGTTTCATTACAGGAAAATAAATGAGGAAGAAAATACCAAATTTCCCAACAAAACTGTGGATGCTCCATCCTGGGAAGTGTCCAAGGCTAGAAGGGCCTGGAGCAATCTGGGATAGGGGAAGGATTCCCTGCCCACGGAAGGGGATGAGCTTTAAGGTCACTTCTACCCCAAATCATCCCAGGATTCTGTGATTGCATAAAATCCCCTCCTCCAAACCTCCAAAAGGAAGAATGCTCCCCAAAATAAGATTTATTTTAACTGAAATTCAGCCTAACAAGGTTTGCAGGAAGAGGAGGAAGGGAAAAATCCAGAGAGGTTCTGAGCTGCCTCTTCCTGGAATAAACTGAATTTTACCCCATTATCCTGCAGCAAGGCAGAGGGAAATTCCTGCCCTGAATCCTGTAGGACTGGGAGCAAGAAAAGCAGGATTTGGGGTAGGAAACAGGAGGCAAACTGAGGAACCTGCCAGCATTTCCTGGGACTGGCCCCACACAATGCTGGGGGGAATTATGGAGGCTGCAAATCCAAGTGGATGGCAATTCTAGACTCCAATCCTTGATTTGCCTTTTCCCTGGAATTAAAACCTCAATTTTCTGTGGATATAAACCAATTGCTCAGGATTTTCTCCTGTAACCCGCCCCCAGCCCCTGGTTATCCCCATATCCCCATGCCCAGGATGACCAATATTTAATTTTTTGAGGCACAGAGACACAGAACCCATCACTGCTCCCTGAAAACCTCTTCATTCCCTTACCCTGCAAGGTAAAATAAATGTGGATACAGCAAAAAGCCCCAATTCTTGGGCTGTATTTTCCCACCACAGCTGAGAATTTAATTCTATAATGAAACTTGGGGTAATTTCTGACTCTTTCATGGGATGAAAATGTGGAAATTGCAGCAGCACAGGTGGGGGTAGGAAATAAAAGCGTGTTCAGAAGAAACTCAGCAGAATTTTGGGGAATCACAGAATTCTGGACTGGTTTGAGTGGGAAGGGACATTAAGGATTATCCCATTTCACCCCAAGGGACACCTCCCACCATCCCAGGCTGCTCCAGCCTGGCCTTGGGCACTGCCAGGGATCCAGGGGCAGCCACAGCTGCTCTGGGAATTCCCAGTTCCCAATGTCCCACCCATCCCTGTCCCTCCACCCCTTGTCCCCAGTCCCTCTCAGCTCTCCTGGAGCCCCTTCAGGCCCTGCCAGGGGCTCTGAGGTTTTCCTGCATCCTTCCCTTCTCCAGGGGAACATTCCCAGCCCTCCCAGCCCTTCTGGCCTCATTCCAGGAGGTCAAAGCCCTTCATTCCCAAATGGGCACTTGCTGCAAATCCGGCTCAGCTGAGCCCTGAGCTGCTCCTTAATCCCCTGGCACCCCTCAGGCTCATCACGGATGAAGTGTCCTAATCCCCAGCAGGACAGGAATAACCTGGCCATGGAAATTCCCACAGAAAATCCCAAAGAAAAGCAGAGGAGTTGTCCAGTTTCTCACCCAGCTCTTTGATTCAGCAAGGTTTGAATTCCAGAATTCAGCTGCATCCTAGGCATGTGATTAAATCTTCCTAATTAACATCAGAACTGCCCTGACCGCAGTGTGACCCCACAAACCTGCAAGACTCCAACTTTCCTTGGCCACCTGCATTCCCAGGAACACCAAACCTGACTGCCCACAACCCCGTGCTTGGATAAGGAAGGACACAAAACCCAAATTATTACCAGGAAAGCATTGTTCCCAAGCTAAATATTCCCATTTTCATGGAATGAAACCTAAACCAGAGCTGAACATTTTACCAGTCAAAACTGCTTTTCATGCCACCCTAAACCCTAGGAAGGGATTCCATGAGCTGGGCCTGGTAAAGCTCAGCTTAACCCGGTGTGGGACAGGAGCAGGCTCAGGATGGGACACGGATTTCCCCGCTCCCCTGCCAGATGCGGCCACATCTGCAGCAGCCCCAGCCAGCTGCACATCCCAGCAGTTGCCTGGCAACAGAGGGATGCTGCCCCGGGTACCAGGCTGTGCCCAGCCCCCAGTTTGTCCAGCAGATGCAGGATGGGCAGCTGGGGAGCCCAGCCCAGCCTCCCAGGCTGCAGGAGCTTTGGGTTCACTCTCAGGGATTTGTTTCCCTGCTCCTCCAGGAGCCCATTCCCACAGAGAATGACAAGTTCACCTCCTGTCCCCTGCTCACAGCAAAAGGAGGGAGGAAGAGAAGTAAAATCACCCCAAAACCCAGCCTGGCTTTCCCAGGGGATGAGAGCCCAGCAGGGCTCTGTCTGCAGCTCAGCCATGGAAATGGAACCCAGAACATCCCTGGGAATCTGTTCCTGTTCGTGCTGCTGCTCTGGTGAAACACAGAGCCAAACCTCACCTGCAGGCACACCAGGGTTATCCACAATTCCCTGGAGAGCAGAACTCCTGCTCCTCTCCTGACATCCCTCTGCAAGTGTGGAGGGGGAAATCACCCAAGGAGGGAGTGGGAAAGTGCCTTGGCTGAGCTTTATTTTCCTTGTGAGCCTTCAGAGCACAGGCACACCCCAGAACTGGGCAATGGATGGAACCACTCCTGCTCCCACTCCAGAGGTGAATTCCTGCCCTTCCACTGTCAGTTTTCCAAGGAATCTCCTGTTTGCCATGAGGGCCCTTCACACCCACTGAGAGCCCAAATCCAGCACCTCCCACCTCACCCGCAGCTCCTCTCCCACCGAAAGGATCTGGGATGGAAACAGGAATGGGATCCTTGGGATGGCCTCAGACACTGCTCTGCCATGGATCCCAGAGAGCAGAATTTCAGGGATTTGGGAGCACCTTAATCCGGGTTTCAATCCCTGCTGCCATGGATCCCAGAGAGCAGAATTTCAGAGGTTTAGGATCAGCTCACCCAGGTTTCAATCCCCACTGCCATGGATCCCAGAGAGCAGAATTCCAGAGATTTGGGAGCACCTTAATCCAGGTTTCGACCCCTGCTGCCACAGATCCCAGAGAGCAGAATTCCAGAGGTTTGGAGCAGCTCACCCAGGTTTCAATCCCTGCTGGTAAATCCAAAGCAGCACCTGACACTCAGGGATGCTCCTGCTCGTGAGCGCTCAGCCTGTGGCAGCAGAATTGGAATTTTTCATGGAATTTTTCGGAGATTTGGGGGGGAAAACCTGCCAAAACCCCACAGCAAGAAGGGTTTGAGGCTTCCAGGACTGCCCTGCTCAGGCAGAGCCACACAGGGCTCAGGAAGCCCACCAGGAGAAATTCCCAAGTGGGGATTAAATCACCCCCAATTACATTTTTCCACCTAAGAAAAGCAGAATCCTGATGCAGAATTCCCAGCTTTCCCCTCTGATAAATTACAGGATTATTTCTCACAGCTGTCCTGGGATTCACCACAAAAAAAATTCAGCCAGGAAGGTTTGAAACTCCCCCTTTCCAATTTAAAATTGGATCTGAGGGCTACACTGATCTAAGCAAACCTGAATATAAAACGCACCCTCCAAAAATCATCATTTAATTCCATGAGCAGCTCATTAATTCATGGATAAGGAAGAACTTTTAATGGCAGAACTGTCAAACTCCAAGATCAATCCAGGGAAGCTCTTGCACATTTAGCAAGGAATAAAAATAGGGGGGGGGAAGGGGAAAAAAAGGCAATCAGGTACCTTTAGAGCCATGCAGTGTTTTGTGTTTTAAGAATTCCGTTTTTTCTGCCTCTCCTCTCTCCTGAAATTTATTAATAGCCCCATTCTTCCCTTGGGAATTCATTCCTGTGACTCAGGAATTGAAGTGGAAAAGCCTCATTAATTCCTCTCATCCCAGACCTCGGGAGGAAAACCTTTGGGGGGCTTGGTTCAGGCACAGCCACACAATTCCAGGCTCCCCCAATTCCATCCTCCACATCCCCAGCAGCTCCAGAGGCACAAGGTGGGAAATTTGGGAAGAGCTCACCTGGCTTGATTGCCTCCTTCAAAGTCCTGGGGCTGCGCTGGTGCAAAGCACTGAAAAGCTGCAGATAATTCAAATAAAGATTTAAAAACCCCTAAATCCTAGTGGAATATTGCAGAACCATGAAATGGTTTGGATGGGAAGGGATATTGATCCATGGGCAGGGACAGCTTTTCTTTTATCCCAGGGTGCTCCAAGCCCCATCCAACCCAGCCCTGGACACTTGCAGGGATGGAGCAGCCACAGATCCTCTGGAACAACCAAAATTTTGGGAATTAACTCCCACCATTGGAGGGCAATCCCTTTTCCTGTATGTTAAAAGCTCAAATCCTGCTCCCACTGCTTTTTGCAGATTTTTCCCTCAAACACAGCCCACCTAGAACAGCAAATTGCAGCACTTTGCTCACCAGCTTCCCAAATTCCTCGTTCCCAGGCAGTCCTGGCATCTCCCACTCCCAAACCTCCACCTCTCCCAGATTTCTCCCTTTGCAGGAGCCTCCTCGAGGCTGATCAGCTGCCTCTGTTTGTTCCCATTCCAGGGCTGGGAGAGCTCCCACATTCCAGGGAATGCAGAGCGCTGAGTGGCACAGACAGCTCGGCACATCCCCCCTGCAGTTCTCCAGCTCCTCCAGCACAAGGATCTCCTGTTTGCCACGAGGGCCATTCACACCCCACTGGGAACCCAAATCTTCTTGGGGACAGCTGTGAGAAATAATCCTTTGGTTTATCAGAGGGGAAAGCTGGGAATTCTGCATCAGGCACATCCCCCCTGCAGGAGTTTTCCAGCTCCTCCAGCACAAGGAAACGCTGCAGAGAGCCCAAGGAGCAGGGAAATCAGGGAATGCACATTCCTGAGGCTGCAGGAGCTGCAGCAGGGTCAGGCCAGGGTGGGACTGAGGGTGCATCAGTGACCCTGAGGGTCCCTTCCAGCCCTGACATTCCACCATTCTGGGATCTGAGGAAGCCATGGAGCACAGGATGGCCCCACAGAGCTGGGCCCAAGCAGAATTCCCTCTGTTTTTCCCACCCAACAGGTCAGGAGAGAACCCAAACCTCTGAGCACCAAAAGCCCCCGTGACAACCAAGAAATTGTTTAAATCCCACTGGCTCCCACTCCAAACCCATCCTCACAACAGGACTGGGATCTCCTCTGTCCACCCCTGGTTCATTCCTGCCCCATCTCCTGCTCTCTGAGGGAAGATTTGTTGGGATTGATCGGCTCTCACTCTGTGGGATTTCAAAATAAAGCTTAAAAAACCCCAAACCTATTTTCCCGTGTCCATAAAGGTGCAGGCACACGGAGCTCAATCTCCCACACTACCAGGCAAAGTTTTCCTTGGATTCACCTGACGGACAAAACCCTCTGGAATTTCCTAACATTAAAAAAATATAAAGGAGAGATTCCCAATTCCTTCTTTGCAGGCAATTCCCAAATTTCCCCCATGAGCCACGATTTTCCTGTCAGCCACAGCTGGGTTTGATTCCTGCACCCCCACACCCTGCAAACCCAAAACCCCATTAAACACGAGGAGGAAGGAACCCCATCCCATTCCACACATTCCCACATTTAGAGCAGCCCAAATTTCCTACGGAATGGGGTGCTGGGGGTGCAGATGGCGGGGAGAGCTCTGGCAGCTCTCACTCCCAAAAACCAGGAGCTGTTTCTGGAGCAGGTGGGAAGAAGGTGGGAACAGCCAGAAAACCCCAGAACTGTGTGTGGGATCGTGCCCCTCCCCTCCCGGCTTGAAATGGGGGAAAAAAAAAGAAAAAAAGGCAATTTTTCCTTCAGAAAAAGCAGCTTTTTACATAAGAAAAGCAGATTTTGACCCAAAAAACCCCACAGATTTTTAAAGTATAATATCACTTTTTTTGCACAAGGAAAGCAGATTTTTAAATAACAATATCACTTTTTTTGCACAAGTAATGCAGATTTTTAGACAAGAAAACCACTTTTTTTTGCACAAGAAAAGCAGCTTTTTTACACAATTAAAGGAGGGTTATACTAAAAAAATGATATTTATACACAAGAAAAACAGATTTTTATCCAAAAATGAGGGTTCTACTCAAAAAAATTAGATTTTTACTCAAGAAAAACAGATTTTTATACTGGTATTTTCCTAAAGTGTGGTTTCAATGATAACACAAAACACCAAATGTGCAGCACAAGATGAAAATTTTTAAAATACCAAGAAACACATAAAACCCATCTAAATATAACCTAAAAACTCCTAAAAATACCTTAAAACCTCAAGTTTTAAGGCCTCATCTTGCCCTCAAAGCCCAGCAGCCACCAAGAGTTAAAATAATCTTTGCCTCCATCATTCCCAGCGTGCCTTAATCTCCCGTTAATCTTTCCTCCCCCTATTCCCAGCGCCCAAGTAAATTCCAGCCCTTATTTTCCAACTAAAAACAGCTTTTACCAGTTATTTTCTCTTCATCCATTCAGACCGATTCAATTTCTAACGAAAAAAAGGGAAAACAAACGGAAAATAAACTCGCTTTTCTGTCAGCTCGGAAGGGGCTTTTCCCCGATTGCTGGGAAAGCAGCTGGCATCTCAACTTTAGGATTTTCTGGGAAAATCCCAGCTGTTAACAGCCGAGCCAAATCCCATTTCCAGCAGTGCGGGCTGTTTCTATCTTAGGTCCACGCGGGAGGAATTTAAGTGGAATTTAAATGGAATATAATTGGAATCATCCCGGCATCTCTCTCTGTGTGAGCACCGGGAGAAACCACTGGGAAAACCGGGAAGCAGCCAGGCTGAGACACTTCCAGGGAAACCTGCGGTGGGAATGCTAGCCCGAGCATCGTTCCAGGGAAACGTGACAGCCCAAAACATCATTCCAGAGAAATCCTAGCAGTCCAAAACATCATTCCAGAGAAACCTGACAGCCCCAAAACATCATTCCAGGGAAACCTGACAGCCCCAAATGCGGTTCCAGGGAATCCCAGCAGTCCAAAACATCATTCCAGGGAATCCTGGTACCTCAAAAAAATCATTCAAGGAAAACCTGACAGCCCCAAACGCGATTCCAGGGAAACCTACAGCTGAAATCGACAGCCCAAACTGCTATTGCAGGGAAACCTGACAGTCCAAAACATCATTCCAGGGAAACCCACAGCTGAAATCCACAGCCCTGAGCGCTATTCCATGGAATCCTGACAGCCCCAAACACGATTCCAGGGAATCCTGGCAGCCCAAAGCAGAATTCCAGGGAAACCTAAGGGTGAAATGCAGTACCCAAAACATTATTGCAGGGAACCCTGACATCCCTAAGCCCAGGAAAACCCAGGGGTGCAATGGATAACCCGCCGCTCCATACCATAGGCAGCCCCCGCGCGGTTTTCCAGGGATATTTGGACGCTCCCTCACGGCTCTTCCTCGGGGAGCTGCCGAGCAGAGCCCGGCGCCGGGGCTGCCTCAGGGCGGCTCGCACACCGCCGGCCCAGCCCGGCTGAGCCCGGATTAACCAAAGCTCCCGGGAAAGCCGGGATCAGGGACAGCGGGGGGAGCGGAGCCGGGATCCAGGGGATGCCGAGGGATAACGGAGCCGGGAGCCAGGGGATGCCGAGGGATAACGGAGCCGGGAGCCAGGGGATCCCTCGGGATAACGGAGCCGGGGCTGAAGGAGCGAGGGGAGCCCGGCACGGACCCCCCCGGCCTCACCTGCGGCGGAGCCCCGAGCTCAGAACCGGCCCGGGGGAACAGCAGTGTCCGGGTTGGGCTCAGCCCCGTCAGCCCGAGGGGTCAGCAGGATCCTGGGGGTCTCGGCCCCCTCAGTCCGAGGGGTCAGCAGGATCCTGAGGGGGCTCAGCAGCGTCCGGGGGAGTTCAGCAGTGTCCGAGGGGCTCAGCCCCAACAGTCCGAGGGGTCAGCAGGATCCTGGGGGGCTCAGTAGTGTCCGGGGGATCAGCAGGATCCTGGAGGGTCTCAGCAGTGTCCGGGGACGTTCAGCAGCTCCAGTCCAGGGACTCAGCAGGGTCTAGGGGGGCTCAGCCCCGTCAGTCCGGGGGCTCAGCAGGGTCTAGGGGGGCTCAGCCCCGTCAGTCCGGGGGCTCAGCAGCATCCAGGGGCTCTCAGCCTCCGGCGGGGGCTCAGCTCGGCCCGCGGGGGGCTCAGCGCGGAGCCGCCGCCCTCCTCCTCCTCCTCATGGCCGGGGCAGAGCGGGAGCGGCCCCGCCTCGGCCGCAATGGCCGCGGCTCCCGCGATGCTGTGGCTGGGCCCGGGGGCAGCGGGGAGCGATGGGAGAGGATGAGGAGGAGGAGGAGGGAGGGATGGCGAGGGAGGGCCGGGCAGGTGCCGGGGGCGGCTCCGGCCTCACGAATCGCGCACGGAGGGAAGGGGCGGAGGCGGCGCGGGAGGGAGGGAGAGGCGGGGATGGGGAGGGGATCGGGGGTGGGATGGGGGCCGAGGAAAGGCTGGGATGGAGAGGGGATCAGGGGAAGGTTGGGATGCTGAGGGGGGTGGGACAGTGTGGGAAGCGGTGAGGAGGAGAGCAGAGGGATGCGGGAGGGAGAGGTGAGAAGAACAGGGGATCGGAGGACGTGGAATGGGGCGCTGAGGAGAGATGGGGAAGGCTGGGACGGTGAGGGGATGCTGAGGGGATTGGAAAATGTGGGATGGGGTGCTGAGGGAGCAGAGGAAGGCTGGGATGGTGAGGGGATGGGGGAATGGGGGATGACGAGGTGCTGAGGAGCTGTGAGGAAGGCTGGGATGGTGAGGGGATGGAGGGATGTGGGATGAGGTTCTGAGGGAGCAGGGGAAGGCTGGGACGGTGAGGGGATTGGGAATTGTGGAATGAGGTGCTGAGGGAGCAGGGGAAGGCTGGAGGGGCCGAGGGGAGCCCAGGGAAGCAGGCACGGGCACTGGAGCTCATCTGTTGATTCCAGGCCCGCACCAGGGCAGGTTTCCATCCCCCAGGGCCGCTCCCATTCCCCGGGACCATTCCGGATTCCCACCCCTCAGGCCCGGGGGCTCCAGCTCTCCTGCCGGCACCTGGGTGGAATTCCCTGACTTTTTTTTTGCAGGGAAATTGGCTCTCAGGGAAAGCAAACCAAACGGTAAAAGCTGCTCATCCC